AGACTGACATTCACAATCTGCCTCTGACTTGGGTGTCTGACCAATGGCCCATACCTGGGAGTCTCCTTCCAGGCGTGCAGTCTCTGATGGTCCTTGGCCATGGGTACTGCATGTAAAAGTTGGGTACACTGAGCAACAACCAGGATTAGTTTGTCTTTCAATATGGGAAAGAAATCAGACAGTCACATCAGTTTCTAAGAAAAAAGCCAATCTTAATCTTAATGCAGAGTATATGCAATTCATTATTTATTTTGGTGAAATGCAGAGTGCACCTTCCTGTGCCGGCCAGCTGCTCATTTATAAAATTGATTATGCATTCTCTTTAGAGAATTTGGCAGCTAAATTGCATTCATTGCTGCCAAAGTCTTTGATATCCCTTTGACTGAAGAATATTAATAATAACCAAGAATAAAAGAAAGACAGGCTATATTCTGATTTTTGATGTTTGTCAAATTTTGCCTGCCTCAGAAAGTTTCAGGAAAATGTGTATCTGGCACACAGACTCTCCTTAACCTCACAGCAGGAGCACCCCAAAATGTCTTGGAGAGTGAAGGCTACTTTTGTGGTAAAAGAGGGTAGAAATTATGCTGCTTTAAATTTTTTTCCCCATAATAATCAGGTGGTTGGTTCAAGTAATATCTTGACTCTTCGATTCTGTTGTGTCAGTCTGACTTCGCCATCGGCTCCCTGAAGAGTAAAAGGAAGACAGAGAGGAAGGAATACTCACCTTGCTCTGTGTATAAGGATCTTCCTTTTAGGTATGAAGTCCTGGCTGGGGGGGCAGATGTTGCAGGCAAGACTGAGGATGGTGGGCAGCACAAACCCTGAGCTGAGTTGGAAGTACTGAGCTGCCTGTTTCACGGTACCAGGGGCATGTTCTGGGCGCAGGGACATCCTCCTCTACCCTGCTGTGACTGCAGCTTTTGAGCTGGGTGTGTACATTGTTTTTCTCTGATGAAGCAAGATGGGAGGAGGGGCTTCTGCCCACTGGACAGTGCTGTGAGCACCACTGAGTTAGACCAGGCTCCCAAACCCACTTCCAGTCAACATTAGGACTGTGTGTTGAAGTTGGGCTTTAAGAGAGGATAACCATCAATGCTTAAAATGCCTCATGAATTGGTGGTGATAACACTGTATGAAAGGCCTAGCAGTCTGGTGTTCACTCTATATATCAAATATCTGGGAATAAAACTGCCTGAACTTCAACTTTTCTGCGATTGTCTGGCACAATTTTATTTCCTGAAACTTATCCTTAATGAACTGTTCACCCTCCCCTCAATAAAAACTCCTGCATACCAGTGTAGGTGAACATCAGAATGTAAAGCAGATAGTGCTTACAAGTGGATCGTGAGGAAACTGCAGAAAAATTAAAAGGTTGGAGATGGACAAGATGTTGGGAAGGGAAACTGGATAACTGTTTAAAATAGCAGTTAGTTTTCTTGCTTAAATGTTGTTGCTATTTAGAAAAAAAAACATCCTAAGCTTGACAGAGATGGACAAACACCCCCTGGACCAGGTTCATCTGAAGTCTGGGGAAAGACAGAAAATCAAGGTACAAATTTCTACATCACATGCATAGCAAAAAAATTAGCCTATTCAGGCCCAGACGCTAGAGACCTGACCCTCTGGGTCCGTAACTATGAGTGAAATGGAAACGAGCTGTCTAGCTCCATCATCTTTGAAGCTAATTATATCTAGCTAGATCTAAGCTACTGCATTTTTTCAATTCAGACTCAGGTTAATAGAGTAGTGGAAAGGATTTTTTGAACACACGGGGATATAGGTCTAGTTGAGCCAGGGTCTTTAGGACCCTTGGGTGGGTCCTAAAGTGGCTGTGACTTCTATATCTTAGCATTACCAGGTTGGAGTTTCATAGTTGCTGATTGCAGAGACTAAATTTTAGCAATTGGATTATCCTACTAACCCTTCTCAGTGCTTTCTCTTTAGTGACTTGCACTTGGCAGTACAAGCTCTTAGGATAGGAAGTGGAAAAATATCTCAGTATACTCCAGGTGTTGCTAATGCAATCTCATTTTATTTCAGCTGTCAGAGAACTAATCCATCATGAGTCATAAAAATTCCATTGAAGATGCTTGCTTCTTTCCCTTACAGCATGGTCAAATGCCAGTCTGTTCCTTTGAGGATTCTTTTCAAGATTCTAAGATAGCTAGTAGTTTGGTTTTACTCTTCCTTGACTTCTGTTTGCAGCATATTAGTTCATTGAAAGCTACAGGAGCTTAGTTATTAGAAAAATAGAGCACTGTGTCTCATTCTTCTGTATTCTCAATACAGAGCTATTTCTTTAGTCCTGATGCATTTCTGCAGACTGTTTAGCAGCAGTGCTTTTAGTGTAGCAGATCTGCAAGGAACTGAGGGAGATGGAGGAGATGAATATTGATGAAACTGCAGCAAAGGAGATCTCTGTGTGTCACAGCGTTGGTAGTGTGTTCATGCATCATTGACTTGTATGTCTTCTGTGGTTGTCTGTGTCATGTCCTTTGAGGTGACAAGTGTACAGCTATAATTCAGACTGTATCAGTCATGTTATTGTATTTTAGCATTTACTATGACTTGAACATGACCTTAAGGAGGACTAGGTTCTAGCTGCAGTGTGATGAAGATCGCACAGTCCTTCATGAGAAACTTCTTATGAGAAAATTCTGGCACTGGTGAAAATTCCTACTCGGTGATCTATAATAGTCCTTTCAGTCCACGCTGAGCAAGTACACTTTATAGCAGATTTCCTTGGAGCCCTCTATAGTCCTTGGCTCAAGTTAAGCTTCCAGAGTGTGGAGATGGTGGAGATGTAGAGACCCAGGAGAACATCCCAGGACTCAGCATACCCAGTGTGCCACTATATTGAGTATGCTGGAAAGGAAAAGACCCACTCCCCAGAACAACACTGCCCCTCCCTGCTCTTCCACTAATTCCCCAGATCCCTTACTTACATAAGGCTGAAGACAGGCACATAACTTCTGCTTGGAGTCCTGGGCTGTGAGCCTCTTCTGTGTCTCTAAGCAAGATTAATGTTTCTCCCTCATTTAACATTTCTGTCAATCATCAAGACAGGATTTGTACCCAAGTATCAAAACATCTTTGCATGCAGAGTATTTGGATCTAAAAGGGAGGGAGGTATGTCTGCCACTTGCAGAGAAAAAGAACTGATGTGGCTTTGACATGCAAATGTTGGGTGTCTAAAAAAAACCCATATGGATGCAAGCACTGCTATCCAGGATCAACACTTCTGTGCCCAAATGTCTTCTGTGTGGAGTTTTGCCAGTTGTACAGTATCTGCAAGGTTAGGGCTCACAACTCAGCTAGGCATGAAAAGTCCCAAGTGAATTTGAGCTGAAATAAGAAATAAGGTGTTATGGTCATCTTGGAATTGGGGCATATGTTCTCTTACCTGGGAGCATTTTGTTACTACGGGCTGTTAGGTTTGTTAGGGGGAGATGTGCCTGCATGGTTAAATTCGACATTTCAAGAATATGGAAATGCTGTGATCTGCCATTTGAAGTGGTCCTTAGGTGCCTAATGTCCTTTGGGATCTTCTGAGAAGTCTTAATCAACTAAATCTTTTCAAATGCAAGTCTTTTAAATGTACTTCTAAACTGTAAAAAATGGAGGACTGTACAAAGGCCCTGATCTCCTTCAAGGCTCCTTTCTTTAGCCTCACTCCTAATTAACTGCTGTGACACTTCAAATGAGGAAATTTGATGACCCTGTGCTGCTCAGTGTTGTGCAGTAGCAGGTTTTCAAACATGTTTCTATTATTTGCAGGCCAGGCATCACTGAGCAGAACAGATTTAGTCACAGTAACCTTTTCCAAAATTATCCTGCTAATAAATCAGTCTCTCAGCAGAACTGTACCAGACCTATGTGCAATCACACGCTGTGCTGTCTTCTGTATCAACACACACCGGTAAATTCAGGGGATGAGCTTTGGACTTACACCTCATCCATTCATGATTACTGGGAGAAACTACCTCAGTTTGTAAGAGGGAACAGTAGTATTCTATTAAAACCCAACCCCAGGTACCTTACTCCCACTTATGAACCAGTGCTGTAAATTTGCTTCTTTGTCAACTCCTTCTTGTAAATCACAGTGCAGTTCCAGCATGCAGTGTGCTTAGTAACACTGTGTAAGGGTGCAAGTACACAAAAACCTGTCCTTCTACCTGGTTTTGGGTATTCAAATAAGGTGCATCCACAGGGAGAATCAGGTAGTGGAAGAAGTTCTTTCAATGGGGTGTTCGTACTTTGTGTTAGCCACAAGATCTCAAAACATTAATTTTTTAAGGCACAGTAATTCTGATTCTTTTACCTCAGTCATAATTTTGGTATCAAGGTCTTTATATTAAAAAGGGATTACGAAAATCAAATTGCACTGAAGTATAGTGAAAGTAGCAATTATTACAGAGACTGCTTTCATTCTAAGTAAAACACAAGGCAGCTTTAAAATGCAACTTGTTTTTTGAATGTAATTTATTTTTTTTTAATATAAAGGGAACAGAGGACTAGATCATGTAAAAAATCCAGTATAAAGCCTTTCGATTGCTGCACTGCTTTTTCCTGGAAACACTTGCACATTTTGCTCTGCTGTTGGGGTGTAGAATACAACTTTGCTATTCAGCACGTAGCTTCTTAACACAATTCTGGCTCGAAAAGAAATGCATGGTGCAACATCCTCAAAACTGCAGAGCTCCAGCCCCAAAGTTCTCAGCCTGTTTCAACATGTCCTTCCCCTTTTGTCCACTAGGCTACTTCTTCTTTCAATACCTTCTGATATGCATAAGGTAAAAAAAGATTAATGCCAAACTGTGAGGTTCACACAGATTTTAAATCTAGAAATTGCCCAAAAAATCAAATAAAATTGAGTTTTCCCCCCTGTGTGAACTGTAGCTATTCCCAAAAGCAATGTTACTAGACTTGGTCTTCCACTTGATTACAGAAGCAAATAAATAAACACAACCTATAAATATCAAATAAAATGAGACAGCTTGATACAAATATTTTACATTTATTGGAAGAGTACAGTAAAAAGGGAACTGCAGACTCATTAGTGGTAACTGGTCCAAAGGAGAAGACAAAGGACCGTTCAAAAAAGGCCTGCAGTTTACAAGAATACTGAAAATCTGTTATATAACAGTCTAGGAGAATGAAAAGTTGGCTTGAGTTCTTAATGTAACTTTAAAGTATATAAAAAATTGGCAAATAAATAAAGTTAAAATGCAGATCTATTTAAAATTATAAAGGACAGACAACTGGCAACAGTATTACACAGTTATCACTTTCAGACTTGATTAAAAGCCAGATAAACTCACAAATGCTGTTTCCTTTTTTTTCCCCCCCTTTTTTAACATGTGTACTTTAGGGAAGAAGCACCCATTTCCAGTGTTACATATTATCGTTCTGTTTCACAAGTATATTATTTTTAAACAACAAAGAGCATAAAAGGTGCTTTACCTGACATTAAACTTGCTGGTGCATACTTTGGCACAAAATTCAATAGATATCTGAACACATTTGCACATGTATCTGTGCCCACTAAAGGCTACTGGTGTCAAAAGTTTTGCTTGTGATGGCAGTGAACCGAATTTCTCTCCTTCCCCAACACCCCTCCTCTGTTTCCAGCTGCCTCCAGCTACACAAAGGAAAAGTAACACATGCAACTTCAAAAACAGCAGTCCTACCAATCCTAGTCCAAGTTTTTTCTCTGGAAGTCATCTGACCACACATGCAACTACACAGTCCTTTAACAGAAGGGACAAGGCAGGTGTTTACTGTTGGTTTTCACTCCTCAGAATTTCTCTGTAGAAATCTGTCTGCCTTTTGTGTCCTGAGTGATGAGCCTATACCATTATTTTTTTCCCTATTAATGTTTTTAGCACTCTAGTGAAAATTAGATGGGAAGCTTGGTGGAAAAACAAGTTAACTTGTCACTTACAGGTAATGGTACAATTAACAGTTGAAACAAACACAGACACGTCAAGCCATGTCAGTTGAGACCTAGTGAAAGATCAGTTCCCTGTACGGACATAGCAACAATGCTTTATCTCCTGAAGTTGCAGGTCTCAGCACTTCATGGTGTGTGAGTGGGGTGGTTGTGTATAATTACCAGTATAAGTAAATATTGTATGATATAAAGAACTCAAATTTCTGAAAGCAACATGGACGACAATAATGAAAATTAACACTATCTGGAAACGTCTGTTAAGAAGAAGGAAGTTCCCAACAAAGCTTAGTTGGAATTAAGTCACTGCTGTTAACTTTAAAGGCACTGTTCAGATCTGGTCTGACAGCAAAATGATTCCTGTCTCAAGGAGCATATTTAGCTTTATATTGTTCCCTTGGTGGAGCAGGATGTTCTGTATCGTAAATTAGGCAGTCAAGACTGTTGTTCTACTGATGTCTTTTATGATGCGGACAATTCACAATATAGTTAGGGTCTGCAACCTGATTAAAAACATGATTTGAATGATAAGCTTCACCTGGTTTCATGGTTACTTCAATTTTCATACAAACACATTGCCATAGGGATCAATGTGTAAAATCCCCAGATTATTTCTGAGCCAAACAAAAGCAGGACTATATTTGGACTTTTCTGTCACAAGCATAACTTTCTTGGTAAGTGAAAGGGCACCATCTGTGGTACATGGAGCCATCAGAATTAGGAAATGTTTGGGAGATACAACAGCAGAGCTCAGCCAGAAGTGTAGGTTTACTGCAGCCCTCTCAATTTCAAGTATAGAAAGATTCTTTAAGAATTGAAACAATATCTCAGAGTGAAGCAGTTTACATATCAGTAATCTAAGAATTTTGTATTACTACTGCATTTAACAATTATAGAATTCTTCATATATTGAGAAAAACTGACCTAACTACATATAAAGACAGGACTGCAGATCTTTTTGTTTTAGCAATGGAAACTTCTGGCTCATACTTCCAACATCTGTAATCTAGAAGGAATCACTGATCTATCTGACTTTTCTTTTAAAAAGCCTAATTCCTTTACACTGATGAAGAGTTTCAATGCCTGGCTCACTTACTGTACTCACAGAGCTTAAGTTATGTACTTATCTATAAATACCTGTATTTCTAAAACTAGATGATGCTTCCAAATAGTAGAAATTTAGGATTTTTTCCAAGCCTTCTTTGCTCAGTGTGAATCCTAGGCTAGCATACTGGTTCACAGGCCATACTTATCTATAAACACAAAACCAGTTATCACAAGTTTTATTTACAGAGCATTCCATCCTGGGAAGAAAGATTGTAGTTCATGGCTCTTCTATGTTTTCAATTTATGACCTCAGTCAACTATATTTGAGGGCTTTATTTATCCATTTTTTGTAAGTATGGCTAACAGTTTTGGATTTAAAGAAGGCACACATATCCAAGATCTATAAAAGAACTACTCTCTCATAGCTATAATCTGAAACAGCTGCAAAATAACAATGCTTGTAGCTGGTGATCTAATTAGTCTTTTACCTCACAAAAAAACCCCAACCAAAACATCTGAAAATTCTAATTTAAGTCTTGCCTAGGTGATGCCTGAGAAAATGGTGTTCTAAACCAGGCAATAATATAGAACTGCCTGAAAATTAAACAACTCAGAGTTAACACCCAAGTTTCATAGCTGGACATATATTCCAGTTGAAATTTTATATCAAAGTGTCAGAGGGACATAACAGGGACATAATCGTAACTTAGGGCTGGTGGTGAAGATAGTATTTCCTTGGAGAGAACAGTAAATACATTTCTGAACCCTTCTGTTTTATAGATCAGTAGTAAGACTGAAACATAGGGATTGCTTTTGCATATTTGACAGAGAACCAAAATCAAATTGGACTTTGGAGCCAAAGCTGTGAAATTCAGGGGTATTAGCTGCTGATTTAAAGACAATATCTGGCTTCCAGCTCTTGTTCTATGTGGTGCTTATTATAATGAACACAATTACTCTGATAACTGAACATGGACACTACCAAAAACATGGGAGCTACCAGGCAGATCTTGCTGGATTTTCAAGGACAGTCTTCCCTTCTTTGGTCTAAAAGTAAAGCTGGGTATTAAAAATGCACTAATATGCAATTCTGAAAAGTGTCTAAGAGCTGGAGATCACAGGTAAATTATCACTTTGAGGAAAGAAATGGTAGCAATACTTAAGACTTCATAATGTGACTAGTGAAAGGATTCTTCTGTTTCAAGTTGGAGTTTTCCACTTTTGAACCTTATTTATTTAATTAGGATGGGAAACTATCCCAGGGGATAGCTACTCATAAACTTGATAGATTTCTGAGGTTGATGCATTTTCCTAGTAAGTTCTTACTGATGATTTTTTAAAGACTGGTTTTTTGCTGTTTTGTTTTTGGTTGTTGTTTTTTTTTTCAGTACATCTGCAGAAGGAAACTGGAAGATAACATTTTTAATAGGGCTGATGTTTCAAATTTACTACATCTCTCTTAAAAACTGATGGTTGTTTGGACCTTCAGCAACACTGGACTTGTCCTGTGCTATCTCATTACTAATTGAAGTCGTGTATTACTGAAAGTGAAGGATTGCATGAGAATGATTTTAAGAGGAAAAAAACATGTAACTTGGTGGGTAGCAGGGGTATTCTTGATTGACTTGCAGCAAGAATGGTTTCAATAATATCCCAAGTCCTTTTGTGCTTTAGGGGAAAAAAAAACCTGTTCTTTTAATAGCAAACTATTTTATGCTTGGCCATAAAAAGGTTACGAATACAAGTGCACTGGCATAACAAACATTTCTACTACCTTCAAACAGGACAGTTGTTACAGAAAGTGGATTATCTCAGTTAGCCTCTTTCTTTTTATTTCATCTTTATGAGTTATCATTTGTGACAATCAGCCATTTTTGGAACTGCTGCTCTTGAATATCATGTTTGATGACACTATTTACACACTAACTTAGATCTTCAAATATTGCACTCTCTCAAGTCCATCAGTAGCACTGACATTTACAGGATATGACAGCAAGAATACTGGAAATAGGGTTAGTATTTAATTACTACTGTTAATATTTGTGCAGTAGCATATCTGGGAAAATTTGGAAGGTAGGGGGCCTTTTTTAAATGCTTCTGACAGTTTGTTACCCTGTAACCTCAGAAAACTGGGGTTTTTCTCCTTTTTTCTCTACAATGGGTTCAAAAGGGATAACAACATACTTATAAGAAATAACCAGAAGGTAACTTCATATATAGTTTTAATGATGTGCTTATAGGATTTAAGTAAGCATAACAGGTGGTCAAAGACATGGATGAAAAAAGTATGAATAACCTAATATCTCCTTAACCAGTTTTCTGTTTCTCATCAGTAAGAACTGGCTTTGCAAACTGCAGTTCTTACTGAATAGCCTCGTGGTGATGCCTGTCCCAGTAACAACTTCCAAAAAAATTTTAGGAAACTCTGCAAAAAGGCATATTTTTGTTAAGAAGAAATGCAATATAACTGTAGTTGATAAATGAAAAAGTTCACTGATTGGTTTTCATAAAAACTAATGAAAATGTACATTTCTAAGATAATGCCTTGGTGGGATGCTAAATCTACAAGATCACCCTTTGCTGAAACAAGGTTTGTTTTCAGTAAGACACTTTTCACTAATTTACTTTCCATAAAATAAAAGACGTGGGAATCCTTATGATTTCACTGATGACTGGACTTCAAAGTGAGTATGTGCTTATTTTCTAGTGAAAACAAACTCAGGATGCACTTTTTGCCCTCAAAGCAATGTTCTTAAACAGATGAATGCAATTCCTAGGAAAAAACATGAAATCAAAAGATAACCTGTTGAATCCCCTCTCATGTAACAAGCTGGGGTTAACAGTATCCAATTTCTCCTGTTTAACAATGTACAAAAATTCAGGATTCCCTCAGGGTCCCCCCGGTTGGGATAGTGCCAGTATAAGAACCTATCCTGAAATGCATACTTGCAAAAGAGACTGTATCTTAACTTCTTTGTAAGTTCTCTACAATAAACACAGTCCATGAGCCAAGTGACCAGCATGTGGCTACCTAATGCAAGACTAAGTAATCAGAAGATCATGGATAGCAGATATGGCAGCTTTGCTCCTTAAATAGCAAGTCTTCCTTTTAAATTTCAAGTCATGGCAGGCTTGCTTGTGAATTCTCCTGTGAGAAAGTCCACAAAAACATAAAACCAGTATGACACATAGGTATGGATTTCACTTCCTAAATTGTATAGTTTCAACATTTACAAGCGAGATGTGATGAAAAAGCTCTGCCACAAACTGCCAAATTAATGATACGAAAACAGTTTCAATAATTGAAGAGACAAGTACCTGTGCTGAAATTTATTCTATACCCATAAACTCATTCTGGTATTGCCCCAGTGTTACTAGTTTTGAACTGAACTGATGCCTACTTGAGGAATAGTAATAATTTTTCTTAATGCTGTAGAAATCCCAGACTTTAAAAAGGCTTTAAATTTAAACAGAAGTGCGATACAAACTACAGAGGTTAACTACTTCAGAATAAAATATTAGTCCAATTTTTATCTTTCTGTGAGAGTCAGGATAGTGACTGGTTAATTTGAGAAAAAGAAAAGAGTATTTTATTTGATAAAAATAAAGCACTATTTCTGTGCTGTCAAGAGGTCATATGGCAGAGCAACAGTCCATCTCTTTAACAGAAGAAGAACATTAACTTTCCAGAAAAGCTATGAATGCTGACAGAGAAGATACTGTTATCCTTACTTGCAGACTTTAGTGATGCATACATAAGGACACGCAGTAGGGTGAATCTTGGATTTTTCCAAATGATTGTGAAACATTCCTTAAATCTTAGTACACTTGCACTTGCATTAGCACACTAGCAAATTAAGGCACAAACTCTGTGTACTACTTAGAAGCATACAAACTAAGAAGAATGTTTCCTATTGCTCTTGAAAAGTATCTCTGGGCTACTTTAAGTACAGAACTAAGTAAATATATCCAGTACACTTATAATGAAGTTTTAATTTATGCCACCATATTTTCCAAGCACTACCTTCATGGGTGTATCTATATATATGTTTCCTTAGCTCCAAGAAAAAAAATCACTTAAGAAATGCAAGAAGCACTCACCATTCCTGACAGTATCACCTCAAATACAGGTGATGTGCTCCCACACAACCATTCACTGTTGTATTTGGACACTAACTCCTATGTAACAGACAAACTCTTCTAGACTTCACATATTTTGGTCACACACTGAACCACCACTTAGTACTACTGTAAATACACCTTAGAGAGCAAAAATTATTTGGACAATAGAAAAGCCACCTTAACAGAAATAAAAATGTAATGTAGCCACTGACTTCACTCCACCTCAATCCCACTGTAATACTGCCCTAAAATATGGGGCTAATTAACATTCCAGATGCTGCGTTACTCATAATCCCTGTTTCTACTTGCAGTAGCAGCAATTGGTATCCCTTGATCTGAAAAAAATTTAGTAAATTCTTAGAAAAATTTCAAGCACCTTAATGCTGGAATTCAGACCGGGAGAGTGTCTGCAACCAGTTTCTATTTCTATGTAGAGCCCTAGAAAATAATTCCAGCTGTAAAGAGGACCCAGAGTCAGAGTAACAAACTGTGCATTTCCTCTCTCCCCTTTCTAGTAAGCTTTTATTCTTTCTGGCCTTTTTTTTTTTTAATACATATATATATATATATATACACACACACGCACACAAACACAAGGTTTTAATTCCTGGTGAATTTAAACCTTGTTTATCCCCAATCTTTTGAAATATGATTGCAATTATGTAAGAAAAATAGAAAGTTAGTATTTCTACTCTGCTGTTCCCAGCCTATCAGAGGCTTTAAACGTGTTCTTTACTTTTGGTTGCTTGAACAACTTCCTCATGCCATACAAAGTAGTATTTTGCTTTGGACACTGTGATGGAATGTACTTTTGTTTAACATAATCTTTTGCAGGCTCCAGCTGCATTCTGAGAATTTTTACCAATTTAAGGGAAAAAATAAGAATTGAAAAGGAAATCTAGGAAAATTCTTTAACTCCTCTAAGATCAATGACACTTTTTATCTGCTGTTATCATTGGTAAACCTCTTTTTCTTGGCCTACTGCTTTACATATTCTTTGAAAGGCAGATGATTTGGAGTATTTCTTAACATATGTCATTAAGACTTAATATTGGTCTTTTGTTTCTTAAGGAAACATAGGTCACTGTATAAGAGACATATTAATGAATTCTGATGGCATCGTAGGAAGAGAAAAAAAGGCATGGCTTAAGTAAATCACGTAAAAAGTTAGAAGTATTTCTGTAGTATGGTAATAAATGCACAAGTAATTCAATCTGTACAGAGAAAATTCTGGATTTTACTGTTCAGTAAGCACATCTGCATCCAGAATCTGACTGACCTTCATCCTTAAAACCAAGTATCACTTCAAAATATCAGCTGCAGAAAGAATTTTAAAATATATAAAAATTTCTGGTTGGAATACTTGTCAAAACTGTCTTCAGTTATAAGGCCAACATGTATGGCAGTCACTACATTAGAGTGATGACATACAGGACAGGGACAGCAGAGTGAGAACACAGCTTAAGGTAGAAAAACTCTAAAAAATGTCACTAGCAGTTACTTGCTGTAAAACAGATAGAAGCCACAGTCCCTTAAATTTATAGTATGTGCTTTCCTATGTACATGTAACCTAAATTACAGTATTACTGTAACTGGATATATAGCATTTCGCAGTATGTATCTTTAATGCAGGTGTAGACATCACTCAAGATGGTACACATGTATATTAAAAAAACAGTTAATTTCAAAGTAATCCTAGAAGAATATTGCAAATAATGTTGGATAAATGCATGGTGTTTGAAGGGAAAAATTACTTCACTGGAAAATAAAGTCCCACACATTGAGTTTGGCACTTGTTTGTCACTATGTCACTTTCTTTTTGATTGAAGATAGCTCTTTCTGAATCTCACTGAATTTTGGCCGGTTTTCTGGCTTGTAGTCCCAGCACCTCTGCATTATTTTGTATATTTCTTCAGGACATTTTTGTGGTGCAGACATTCGGTAGCCTGGTACACAAGAAAATGGAGAAAATATTAAGCACTGAAAACCGATATTGCATATTTGCATATTGACAAATATAATAAGAAACAAGCAAAGGTCAAGATCATTGCCTTAAAAAGAATCTTCAGGGCAATATGAGGAAAGTCTTCAATATATAACCTATATGTGATAGATAATTATGGAACTAATTAAAGCTCAGGTACCAATGACATTTCAGTTGTTCACGGTAAGTTGTCATTGTGCTTCTCATCCCTTAGTCAGCAACCTGCACAGATTTGTTTCCTGCACCTTAGGAAGTAGCTTCCCTCTGGTTTTCAATTGTGTTCCCTTTTGCTCCTCGTAGTGAGGAAATCAATAATGAAATGTTTATTATTGGTGGGAGTAAATTCCTTAGCTCTTTTTGAAAATGGATGAACTTCTATTCTCATGCCTCTTCCCTTTTTTAACAAGTTCCCTCCCCATTTGCACTTCTGGCATTTATGTTTCCTTTCTCCGGTTTTCTTCACTTTTTTATCTTCCCAGCATTTAAGACTCTTTCTCTTCTCCTTTGCTTAGATAGGTAGTGGCCTTCCACACCTCTCTGCTGCCATCAGCTGAGGGAATTCTCCGACTTGGTGATGAGCAGGAAAATGCACAATCAGTTAAGCAAATTAGCAGCTAATCATTCACAAGTCACGGGTAAGTGGCCATTAAGCATATCATCAATACCCTGGACCAAAGAGGTGTACTCACAACAAGGAAGACAACTTCCCAATGAGTAGGAAGTTGGGAAAAAACGCCAGGAGGACTGTATGGATGAACAAGGAGTTCCTGGAAAAATTCAAATACAAAATCAGGTAATGGGAGGAACAGAGAAACACAGGGATGAAGTTAAGAAGGACAAAGCCCACATGGGCTTGAATCTGGCCATGGGTGTCAAAGACGACAAACAGGGTTTCTGCAAGTATGTAGGTGACAAAAGGAAGGCTAGAAAAAAATGTGTGCCTACTGCTGAATGAGGTACAGCACTCAGCAACACAGGACATGGAGAAGGCTGAGGCACTGAATGCTTTCCTCACCTCAGTCCTTGCTAGCAAGACCTGCCTTCAGGAATCTCAAGCCCCAGAGACCAGGGTTAAAGGCTGGAGCAAGGAAGATGTGGTGGAAGAGGACTTGGTCAGGGAATAGTTATGTAAACCGGTCCTGATGGGATGCACCCATGAGTGCTGAGGTAGCTGGCCAATGTCACTTCAAGGCCACTCCCAATAATCTTTCATCCTTCATGGTGACTACTGGGAGAAGTACTTGAAGATACGAATAAAGCAAATGTCACTCCTATCTTCAAGAAGGAGAACCTTGGGAACTGCAGGCTTGTCAGCATCACCTTGTTACCTGGGAAGGTGATGGAGTAGCTAAATGCTTGAAACAATTGCCAGGAATCTGAAGGACAGGAAAGTCATCAGGAGTAGTCAGGCTGGATTCACCAAGAACAAGTCATGCTTGATCAGTTTGAAAAACTTCTACAACGAAATAAATGGCCTGCTATATGAAGGACTTCACTAAGGATTTCAAAACTGTCTCCCATAAAATCCTCACCAAGATACTGTTGAATTATGGGCTGGATGACCAGGAGGTGGAGTGAAAACTGGCTGAACAGTGAGTCCTGAAAGGAGGTGATGAGTGGTACAAAGACTGGTTGGAGGCCAGTAACTAGAGGTGTACCCCCAGGGTCAGGACTGGGTCCAATCCTGTGTGACATCTTCATTAATGATCTGAATGATGGGGCAGGTTTGTATCCACCAAACTGGGAGGTGGGACTGATACACTAGAGGGTTGTTCTGCCATCCAGAGGGACCTGGACAGGCTGGAGAAAGGGGCTGACAGGAAGTTCAACAAGGGGAAGTGCAAAGTCTTGCACCTGGAGAAGAAGAAACCCGAGCACCAATAAATGCTGGGGGCTGTCCAGCTGGAAAGCAACCTGACAGAAAGGGACCTGCAGACCCTGGTGGACACCAAGGGATGAACATGCACCAGCAATGTGCTCCTCCAGCAAAGAATGCCAGTGGCATACTGGGCTGCATTAGAAGGAGTGTGGCAGCAGGCTGAGGGAGATTATCTGTCCCCTCTGTTCAGCACTGGTGCAGCCACACCTGGAGTGCTGGTCCGGGGCTGGGCTTCCCAGAACAGGACAGACATGGACATACTGGGGAGAGTCCCCTGAAGGCTCAACAAGATGATGGAGACACTGGAGCATCTTTCCTATGAGGAAATGCTGAGTGAACTCAAACTGTTCATCCTGGAGAAGAGCAGGCTCAGGGAGATCTCACCAATGTATATAAACACCTGCAGAGAGGGTGCAAAGAGGACAGAGCCAGGCTCTTTCCTGTAACAGGACCAGAGGTGATAGACACACACTGAAACACAGGGAATTCCTCCTGAACATCAGGAAACACTTTTGTGAGGGTGACTGACCACTGACACAGGTTGCTCAGGGAGGTGGCAGCATCTCCATCCCTGAAGATACGCAAAAGCCATCTGGACGTGGTCCTGCTTGAGCTGGGCGGTTGGACCAGATGACATTCAGAGGTCCCTGCACATCTCAGCCATTCTTTGACTCTGTGTTTTTAACTTTTTGTTTTAAATCATTTAGCAGTGTTACTAGCTTAGAGCCTATTTACAAATTAGTAGTACTATGTAGAGCAGGAAGAGTTCTGAAATGTCAGTAAAGAGATGATGAAAATAAATCGAAGTCCTGAAATCCTGCTCATAGTTATTTGCTGTTTTAAGTAAAGCCTTTTGATTGTTTTATAAAAGACAAATGTGGCTTCCAACACTCAAACAGCTTAGAAGATGGAATGATACAGGTTTTTTTTCTGGCAGTTTAGAATATTTATACCTGCATGAGCATAATCTTAATTCATTCTGGTCAAGCCACTGCTTTGCACAGCAGTAAATCCCTCTTCTCCATCTTACCTGTTGGTTCTGCAACAATGAAAGTCAGCATGCTGTAAGTCCTGCCATCCTTTAAGTTACTGGTCAGTATATTCCTTTTATCAAAAGGCCAATATAGCACTCTACTCTTCCCAGAGAGCTACATTCAGCAATTTAGAAACCCTCATATTATTTTTATGAAGTTGTTATACAACTTGTATGTTATTTCTTTGCTGTTTTATACTGTAAGCACTACATCCTTATGGATCTATACAGCATTTCTTTCACTCCCTATGAATATTTACCTTTCTCAACTTGTTCTCGTGCTTGTTGATTGGTCATTCCAGGGTATGGACATACTCCTAAACTGAATGTCTCCCACAAAAGGATTCCAAAGCTCCATACATCACTCTCAGATGTGTATCTCCCTAAGAAAAGGAATGCAAACCCTCATCTTAACATACAGAGAAATTAACATTTCAGATAATTATGGCCCAAAATTTTCTGTAGAGGTAAAGTGTTACATTGGCAAGCTTCACGCATAACAAAGCTGTAACTAGTAATATACATTCTGCAGACAACACAGTCTTCAGTATCACATTATCAAACAAATTATCTTAAAGACAATACCTAGGAATAATATAAGCTAACTTTAAGTTCTACTGTTTAATAGACCTTAGCATGTCAGTTATTTTCATGCAAGTTAAGAGTTTGTTTCCTCCTTAATGTACAAAAATTTCTTTTAATATAAAAGGTAAGAAAAATGTTAGGTTTCCTCCTCTTGTTTATGATCATTTTCAATTAAAAAATGATTTAAAAAAATTACCTTTCCCAGTTCTTTAATTTCACATAGCAATGAGTATTCTCAGAGGAGCTACCACCAACACAGTTTGTAAGCACGAGGAAGGCTTGGTTCTCATGCTCTGAAAAACTGATCTCTGAAAATGAAAGTATGGCTGGATCCTGAAGAACTGATGCACCCAATCACTTAAAGGAAAAAAAAAGTGGCCTGCTGGTTCCATTACCTTCAACTATGCCTCCGAGATAACAAAACAGATAATTGATAGATAATTGAATTCCAAGCCTCCTTATGGAATGACAGTTTTCTATTACAGCAAAAGGAGAGATCTTGAACAGATCTTCCTGTTGTCCCTGATGGATTCACATTAAGAAGGATGGATTCACATCAGAAAGTTAAGGGTCCTAGCCTTTTGCAGCAGGATCAGGGAAAATGTTACCTTAAAAATTCACTTTCAACATTACTTCCAACATTTTTCATGACTATTCTTTGTTCCATACTATTACTTTGTATATATGTGCCTTTATTCTTTAAAAATACCTGCTTGTGAGTGTATTGTTTGTTTATCTCTAATCGTCCAACAACCCAACTAAACTACTTCTGACTAGAAAAAAAGGGAAAATACGTGTAAATTACAATGACTGTTGATGACAGTGATAACTGTTCTGACATTAGAAAATTCAGTTTACTATTAAGACTAAATATCACTTCCAGCTGTGCCACATTGGCCTGTGTGCCTAATAGATGGCAATTATAGACATTCACTATGCTCTTTGTACTAAGATTAGTTTTCTTGTCTATGTATCAACTCCATACAGTTTGGCATTCAGTAATCTAACAATTTTCATTGACAGCATTCAGCAGATACAAGATAGGTGATTAGGGTGTTTTTTAAAAGAACATACAAGTTCTGCACAGTTAATTACACTTTCCACTATTACATTATCTGGGAAAAAAAAAGAAAGGCATGTTCAGAAAAAACAAACAAACAAACAAACCCTTCACACATTAATATTAACATCACAAGCAATAGCTGCAAGTAATGGAAATAATATAGCTCCAAGCAAAAACAACGGTATGGAATGGCACTGAACAGCATCCACTGAACCAAAGGTTCCATCTCTCAAAAACTCCAACAGCATCAGAACTTTGCTTATGACATCTGACACAATGCCCTAACCACTCCATTTGTCCTAATCTGGTTTCTAGACTTCACAACTTGTGTTTTTTCTTAATTTAAAACCTTTTAGTGACTGCTTTTAATTTGTAATATACATTGAATTCATCAGTGACTAAAAAAAAAAAATAACTTTTTTGCAGTCTTGAGCACTTTAGTATTCAAGTAATGGTTATATGGCCCTATTCCTCATTTTCTTCCAACCCTTAAATCCTGACATTAAGGACAGACATGACCAGTGGTTGCCAACTGGTTTTGAAATACTGCAGATTCAGTTCTATTCTGATATCTTAAATACCTTCAATCTTACCTACACAAATCAATGCAATTCTTATGACTATATTATTAGGTTGGAAAATAGTAAACCACAATTCCATTAGTTTTATTCACATCTTTCCCAGAAACCTTTTATGACATTTCGAAAGTTGTATATTACACTACTGAACACATTAACAGATGTTTGAGAAGGCTTATTTTCCAAACACTACAGAAAATTACTTATAGCTGCTTGAATATCTATGTCTTTTAGGAAACACGAAATAAGTATGACAGATAGGTTTCCACAATATATGAAATATACTGTATGCATTTCTGAAACAACAAAAATAAAAATCCAAATCACCTTTCATAGTTGATCAAACATCCAAAAAAGTGTTTCACCAGCGAATGTTAGCAACACTAAGACCTCTCAGAGTAATTGGTAATACAAGATCAATTACTGTAACTAAGTTTATTATTATACTGTAACTAAGTTTATTATTAGCCTTTCAAAGGGATGATCTGCTTTATTGTGTTATGTCATCAACTCCTGCAAAAGCATTAATGAGAGGAAGCATTTTGCTATCAATCATAATTCACAAACTTATTATTTCCAATGCATGATTTCTGAAAAAGGGCTTTAAGAGATGGCAGAAATATTTATAGACACTTCAAATGAAAAATTTAAAAATATTTTTTTCTAAGTACTCAACTAAAGAATTGGTTGAGAGAAGTACATTCAGAACATGCCATCATTGATTTTAATGTGTTGCTTCTTCACAGCCCACTTTACCTAGAAGAACTTGTTCTTCTAGATTCACGTAAGATAAAAAGCTAAATACAGAAGCTTCTCTTTCTGTTTGGGAACTATTACCCATGTAGTATGGACACTTCACTCAGTAAGAAATAATGGATTTTTACACCCAAGATAACAGCCCAGCAACTCACAAAAATGCAGGTAAAGAAAAGCTGCAGTTAAAAAAAAATATAAATCAGTGACTGTCTTTTTCACCAATACAATGAATTATCTAACGCAGTGTTTTAGTACATTAACACTTTCTACCATTTTCAGTGAGGTGCTAGAACACTCGCCGCCATAAATATGCAGAACTTGCCATTTGTTTTGCTAATGATCATGATTTAGATGACTGATGAGTCTGTCTATAGAATGAGTCAGCAACATAACCTAAGCACTATGCTATTGCTGCATAACAGCAATTCTGATGTTGCTGCCTTATTTTTCTTGAAGGCAAACCAGTGTTTCTTACATAAATAAGACTGAAAATTTAAAATTATTTTAAACATCAATAATTTTGAACTGGGGACTAGGAATATATACATATATACTCAAAATATTGCCCATGGTGTGGTCCTGGTGCTCCTTACTCTACACTGGATTTTATTTTTCTTTTGCAAGAAGATACAGGTATATCCTTACCATAGTTCAGAGCTTCTGGAGCAGTCCACTTGATAGGAATCTGCTTTAGGCCTGATGATGAGTACACGCCATCATCCTCCTGCCGGGACATTCCAAAATCACTTATTTTCAAGATGTTGCTCTCACCTACCAAGCAGTTCCTTGCAGCCAGGTCTCTGAGTTAGAAAAAGAAATAAACGCCCACATTTTTACATGTTTGAAAGTACCTGAAGTAATTTAAAATGGCTGAACCCCTCAGCCAGGATGGTGGCACTTCTCCAAAAACTTAATTTACAATGGGGTAAAAACCACTTCACAGCAGTTGTGGAAAACAGGAGTGATGGAGAGGGAAAAAAGTGAGAAATAACCTGTGAACACCAAGATCACTGAAGAAGTGGGGGCAGACACTCCTGGTGCCTCAGCGGAGATTCCTCTGCAGTCCATAGAGAGGACCCAGAATGGAGCAGGGGAAGAGTGTGAGGGGGAAGAAGGATAGAGATGCACTTATGGACTGACCATAATCTCCATTTCCCATCCACCCCTCAGGGGAGGAGGTGGAGGATTCCAGAATGAAGGAGTGCCTCAGAAGAACGGAGGGGTGTGTGTGGGGAAAAAATTTCAGTTTTTGCCTTTATTTCTCACTATTCAACTCTATCACAATTTGTAATATATGGAATTTATGTCACCCAAATTCAATCTGTTTCGCTGTGATGGTAATTAGTAGGTGATTTCCCTGTCTTTATCTTTTATATTTTTTGTCTTATTTACTCCACTGTCCTGTTGAGGAGGGGGAGTGAGAAAACAGCTGGATGTGTGTCTGGCAGCCAGTTAAGTCAACTCACCATAACTGCTCTCTGTGGTCATAGAAATAGACCCACGGATTAACAAATCAGATCTTATGCAAAATGAAACAAGAATTGAAGAAGCATCCTTAAATGTGTTCCAATACTTACGAAAGACAGTGAGAAAACAAGGAAATGGCTCCATCTTCTCTCTGCCCATCTTATCTTAGCATTAGCGTTTCCATCAAAAATAAAAAGCCACTCAGTATAGGAAAAGGAATTTTGGCTCAGTGATGGATGAGAAGCTTTGAAAATCAAGAGCCTTCCTTTCTGTCTCTTCATCTCAAACTTGTTTTTTTAGATTAGGAGACAGAATGTCATAATACCTGATAAAAGACCTACTGCGGCTTTTCCACATGCATTATAAACATACTAAATGCAAATTATTTTTAAACTAAATTTACTGTGTTTGTTTTCAGCTTAAATAGCTAATATGCTCACAAATGGCTTGTCTTATGTGACTATTCCAGAAAAACTACATTAAGTTTAATGTTTTGGACTGGAGCTGTAGCCAAGTTCTGAAGTGAATCCCCTGAGCAGTTAATGCACATCCCTTGGTTTTTGAAGAATGACTTTGGTGCATGCAAACTAGATTGTTCTTGGAAGAAACTAACTTAGAATTCTGGCCATTATGTGTACAAAATTTGCTTCTATAGCTAATGCAGAAGGAAAGGTCTGAACCAATGACAGACAGCTTCAAACACTATCCATGGTGGGGACATTAACGACAAAGGACTGAACTATCTTTAGTCTAAAGTAAAAGCCTTGAGCCATATATAAGGATGCTAAAGCTCATACATCTCTTTTGATCAGCTCATCCATATTGATATTGGACTACATTATTAGATAGGAAGACAGAGCCTGTGTATGAGCCTAAATACTATAACTTAAAGAATTTCAGCATATTTGACTCACACAGCTTTTCTGCCACTAAGGACATTTACAGCACTTGAGCTTGATGTTACAGTGATATAAATGAAGTTATTCTTGCAGTTTGAAAAGACGGACCACTCAAAACCAAGTCTAAACTCACGAGCTCCAGTTGAAGATGTGCACAAATGCATAAAATAGGTTAACATAGTGCATAAATACGCACTATGTTACATAGTTTGATATATGGTATGCTACAGAGTTAGCATGTGGTATTGTTATATATATCTATATTGATTAAAGTAAGAGAGCTGCAAAACAAAATCAAATTGTTATTGCTTATACTCAAGTGTGTAAAAAGTATCACCATGAAACTTCAAGAATTTATGGTTTAGGTTCCAATCATAGTTCAGTAATTAGTTTTTTTATCGTTTTACTCAATATAGTCTAGATTTTGCAACATAAGCATTTTGCACATAAGCAATGGAAAAAGTAATGAGGTTGTATCTCAGAGAAAATTTACAGTTAATTGAAACCACTACTACATCTTCCCACCTGGAGTCTGACCTAGTATTTAAACATGTTCTGAGTCAGATTAAGGAAAATCTATATACAGAGCCACCTTATGCCTCATGCGTAAGCCTGATTATTAGGGAAATGTATCATAAATAGTGCACAGTATGATGCTTGTAAATAAAGATTATGATCGGTTTGCATAATTTTTGTCTGTTTTGTACGTGAGTTTTCTTTTATATTCAGAATCATCTAGAGAAAAAGTTTTTCATCCTTACTGAAAATTTACAAAAACACATGAAAATCAACTGGTGTCTGTGGGAGTTGGTAAAGTATGTGACACTACATTCAGGATGTACATAAATTAACACTAGGTCTTTTGAAAGACCATGGACACATTAAGTTTTCGCTTCATGAAACTGTTTTTCAAGCTGTGTATCAGCTGGCAGTGGGTTGCACAATTATACTATTCAAGCTGCCACTATGCACACAAGTGCCAAGGGAGGAATCATGAGCCAGTGGTCAGCTAATGGTCCACAACTTGTGCTGATGGACATAACTATCAACTCCACCATGAATCGTATCAGATAGAGAAGCATTTTCATTGCTACCTTCCACTGAATATAAGCAAAATCTTACAAAATAGTGAGTTCCAAGCTATTAAAAATAAGATAAAAAAGGATACATTACTAAACTTAACTTAGTAATAAAGCTACAAATGGCAAATGAAATGTAGTAGTGCTCATTTTGAGTCTCACAGTATTAATACCTTTTTCTGCTTTTAGCTAAAACTGTTACATTTTTTAAGCTATAATACTGTGTATTACTTTTAATACATCATTTGTAAATAAAGTCTTTTGAGCCCTTAATATGTTCACTTCTGACATAAGCAAATTAGCCTTTTTCCCATCTTCATAAGTACGGTAGGCTCTTTCTCTCACTTATTTAGAAATACTTTAGATGTGATACTTTCATTCCTCAGGCATACAAATGTCCTGAAAGAGTGTCTTGTTAGCATTTCTGCTGTCATTTTACATCTGTTTCACATCCTCAGGATTTGTTGCTGAATTTTACAGATATATATCTATTTGCATGCTTAAAAGCATTTTTAAAAACATTGTTACATTGAGAACTACAGCTACATCAAGTTTTGGGGTTTTTTTAGTATTATTCTGAACGTTTGGTTAAGATTTTGCTGTATTTTTCAATCAAATTCTTGACTGTTTCTCATCATGTTTGACAGCTTCCTTTAAAAAGGATGTTTATATTTTTCAGTCTAGAAACAAGAGAAAAATATAAAAGATGCTTTTGGTGACTATTACAGAATTTACAGTCAGAATATGAAAAAAAAATTGCATCAGCAATTATGACATCCACTGATTTAAAATAATAAATTACAGCTTTAATTTTCTTCCAGTTTCCATGATTCTAATCAATTTCTATTGGCTACAAATAAAAGTAAGTAGTTCTAGTATAATATTGTTAAGGGGCTTATAAAAAACCCTTTACTTCTTAACCTTTCATATGAAATACACACAACAAGAGTTTCATTCCATATGTGTGATAAGCAACAGGAATGAGGAAAAACAAGAAAATGTAAATAATAGGGTTGATGACCAAAACCAAAATTAAATCAATATTAAAGATAACATCAATGTTAAATACTTATAGTAAATTAGGACTCTTTCTACATGGACATTAAAAACCAAAACAAAAAAAACAAAAACCCCCACCAAAATCAACTATGTTCTATTTGTATTCTTTCCCCTGAAAAACAAGTGTCTTCCTTCTCCCTAATGTTGCCTAAGGTCAACATCCTGAAGTACAGATATAATTGCATGAAATTAGGTGTCTCTGTTTGGAGTATTTTTTTTCTCGTACAGCATTTGCTACTTACTGCAGTAATTCCACAACATCAGTATTTCTCTTTAACATAGAATGCAGGCAAATATTCTCTATTTACAATGTTAAAGCTCTATGAATTGGGCACAAATTACACTGAGGTTCTGTAGAATAAGTTCCTTAGTAAAAGAAAAGCTGACTCTCACTATATAATACCAAGATTATGTAAGTTTCTAGTGCTATTAGAAAAGAAGTGTCTTCCTCTCAACTACTAACAAATAAAAATTAGTGTGTAATTTGGAAATTCTCTTTTTAAGCACTGAAGTGCAGTCCCTGTAAACACAAACTGAACATCTACTAGAATCATTAATATAGGTTGAATATGCTCAAACTGCAAGAGGTAGCTCATAGAACTCTGCTATTTGCTACTGAATTTTTGCTAAAAATTCAATGGCCAGTTAAAGAGGAATTACAGGAAATTTCTCTATGCTGGGAGTTGTTGCCACCTGGATTTATGTCTGTCAGTAAAGATGTAAACCTACTAAACTTTAAGAACCCATTTATACCCTTTCCCTATTCTCCTTCCACCACCCCAAAAGAACTACTGAGCAAGTAATATGCAGTATTTCAATGGAATTCCATCAGTTAAAGAAAATCAAAACAAGAGAGTAAACTCCTCATTACTAAACCAGCAGCACAGACTGCCTCAATGAACTAATTAGCCATTTTATATCCCATTCGTGGATCATGCTGCTAAAATACTCCTAGGTGATAAAAGCAAGTAAATAATTAGTGAACAGGATTAGTTTATCTCCTCTGCACATTAAATTCAATGAAAATGTCTCTTACCTAAACAACAAAAAAAGGGGGCGGGAAGTGAAACTAGAAGTGAACTCATTGGGATTTTTGTGGACTGTAAGACACCACCTCACCTTCAAACACCTGAGGTAATTTCCACTGGTGTCTAAGTCAAAACACACCTATTTCAGAACTTCCTTAATATGCACATGCTGCTACTTTTGCTATATGTGGAGAGCACAGAAAATAGTATGTGCCTAGTAACAGGCTGGGAAAACATTAGAGGTTCAGAAGCACATCCTTCCAAGCAT